GCAACCTTCCGATCAAGCAGGACTGTAGGCAGTGGCATTGGTACACTAGGTCGTGAACAGGTTCTAGGACTTCCCTCTCTTTCTCCATCTTCATGTTCTGATGATCCTGTACCTGCTTCAGATTCTCTATCCAGGGATAATTCTAAATCAGAAAATAAATTTATCAGTACATACTAACAGAAATACTATAGAAAATTCATTTACATACTAGACTATCAAATTCATTTACATACTAGACTATACTACAGAAAATCATTTACATACTAGACTATCAATAAATAGCATACTAACTTTAGAAATCATGAATCCCTTTTACAACTTATGGCCAGGAAATAAAAACCAAGGAAGGAAACTATTTTCTGGTCTGAACTGAAAATTACTACATTTCTTAGTTTTAGATAAATCAAAATTTCATTCACACTATCACATTATCTTTATTATCACCATTATTAGCAAAACCTGTTACCCCCCCAAAAGCATGGCTTCCAAAGTAATACATTACTCAAAGCAATATGTTATAACAAAGCAAAGTTAGATGGTAGATGGTCCATAGTACATGGTCATTAAAGACCTGTGGAATGAATGGAAAAGTGAAAAGGAAGGAGGGGAGGAAGGAAAGATTACAAACCAAAGGTGGTTTCACAAAAAGCTGTCAGCCTGTAAAAAAGAAAAATCTGAACACAGGATACTAACCATGGTCTAGTTTCATACGTAAACCCCTCTCTCTTTCCTCCTGTGAACATTCATCTTCTCTATCTCCTTTGTCATTTTCATGATCCACCTGCTTTTCAGAAAGTTTTCGTAATTGCTGCATAAATATTTCAGTAGATGATGTAAAATGAAATTCTTTGTTGTTTAACCAATGAACTACAAAGCCCCCATTCCCATCATCAATGTTAAATACAGTGCCAACCAAGACATTTGGAATATCTGTGGAATCAAAAAAGATAAAATTTCAATGTGAATTTCTAATGTCTTTTAAAATATTACATGTGCCTATAAAGACTAATTCCATTACACAGAAAATGTGATAAACAAAAAGTAAACATAACTCTAGCACAATTTGAAATTTTTAATTGAATTTAATGGTAAATGAACTAATGGCATAGACATACGGAATTAAATTACTAATTTAAAAACTAAACACACCAGGGCTTCCCTGGTGGCGCAGTGGTTGAGAGTCCGCCTGCTGATGCAAGGGACACGGGTTCGCGCCCCGGTCCGGGAAGATCCCACATGCTGCGGAGCGGCTGGGCCCGTGAGCCATGGCCGCTGAGCCTACGCGTCTGGAGCCTGTGCTCCTCAACAGGAGAGGTCACAGCCGTGAGAGGCCCGCGTGCCGGGGGAAAAAAAAAAAACAAAAACAAAAAACTAAACACACCAAATGCACAAACTTTTATTGAATCCTGGTTTGGGGATGAGGGAACAGAAAGACAAAACAGAAAAGCAAATCTAAAAGACGATTTTGAGATGACTGAAATTTAAATATGAACTGAATATCAGAGGTTATGGAATTATTTCTAATTTTCTTAGGTATGATAATGATATTGTGATTATGTAAGAAAATTTCCTTATTCTTAGGAGATACTTGCTGAAGTATGTAAGGGTGATATGCCATGATATGTGTAACTTACTTTGAAAACTAAGAAAAAATTTCACTCACACACACACCCACATATAAACATACATATGTGTGTATATACAGAGAGAATAAAGCAACTGGCAAAATGTTAGCAATTGTTGAATCAAAGTGGGTGAAATGAGTGTTCACTGTACTATTCTTCCAACCTTTCTGACTGTTTTAAACTTTCCTCAAAAGTCGGGGAAAAATAATGCCAGGAAAGAACACAGGAAGGCAAGCAAACTTCTAAGTATAGCAGATTTTCTCCATGTGGGGTAACTGAAATTCACACTATAGATCAGTTCACGTAAAACAGTATAATTCAAAAAAAAAAATCTCCTTAATCTCAAATCAAATTATAAATAATCCATTCAATAGAAAGAAAAAGAACTGGGGGGGAAGCATCCAGATAACACTCTTTTGGAACTGTATTTGCTAAATACCTATCTTTATATAAATAAACATTTAAAAATAAAATCCTCTGCACCCTGAAGCAATAGACTTCCATTTCAATAAAACATAACTATAACTTTATACAAATATAGTTCTTCCAGCAATGTAATATGAAACTAATAGGCCTTGTCATATGTTTTTCATGCAGAAAGAAAACAATGACCTTAAATCGAAGCTTTAAATATGCTCTTGCCAACAATGAACCTGCCTTAAAATACTTCTCAACGACATAGGAGGAAAAGAGCAAAAAGAAAACATCAAGGTTAGAAGAAAAACTACCTTTCCCAAAGTGTAGGACAAGAAAGTCTATGAGGGTACAAAACAAGATATGCTGAAATATAAGGAAAACTATGCAAAAATATACTTAGATAAAGTTATAAAGAAGAGTTGAGAAGAAAGAATAATAGTGAAAATACAAAAGGGTGGGAAATCACACTAATTAACCAGGCTGCCACCACTTGTGTTCACCTCCAGGTTCAACTAAAGCTCTAACTACTTAGAAATTTTGCCATATTCTAGACAAACAATGGTGCTCAAAAATACTTATTTGAAGTTATTCCCTGAGGATCACACAGTCTCATTGTAAGAAATGGCACCTTATATTTCTGTTCCAATTAAGAAGTATTTTAAAAGGAAACATGGAGTATTAGCATAAAATTAGAAACAGGTTATAAAAGTAGTCCTACTTTTCTATTTATTTATCTTATTTCAGCAGATAAGAAATAAAACTTTACTATCCTTTACCTGTGACGGGATTGATGCTCGCTGCAATGTGAAAATGACACAGTGCATTTGCGTGATGGGAAATGTGTCTTTGAACTTCATGCGTTGCCATCTGGTCATGCATTAATTCAGTGTGCGTTACAAGAATGGAAGACTTCCTTTGTCCTTTCCTTAAATTTTTCAAATGGTGTATTGTCTAAAATAGAAAAATAATTACTAAATCCAAGTCTAGGAAGTCTAATAAGTGCTGATCAAAGTATTTTTGATTATTAAGGATTTTACAATTTTCCTCTCTGTAAAACCTGACCATCTTAAAGGAAACTTTAACTACAATAGAACAACTTAATATATTCTCCACTGGTCTTGCAAATTTTATAGTTCAAGGCAGTAGTTGCTCAAAAACACTTATTATCTGCAGAAACCCCTATAAAGATTAGGAGTCCAAAGTCTAGTTTTTTCAGGATATCCCAGTACTGAGATGAAATTTACTAGTCATAAGGGTGTAAAAAAAAAAAATTCCAAATCTTCCTATCAGGAAGAATATTCCTCCCCAAAATTCTCACTTAGAACTAAATAGCCAGCTAAATAATCTAATATATAACCTCTGGAAGAATATCTCCCCAAAATTCTCACTTAGGACTAAATAGCCAGCTAAATAATCTAATATATAACCTCTATTATAAAGACAAAAAGAGGGTACAAAAATACAGAATAACAAGGGGAACCTTAACTTAGATAAGAGTAGCCAGGAAAGACCCCATGAAAGTGCTGACCTGTGGAATTTGTTCAAACTGAGATATGTGTCTATGATAAAAATTCTGTACTGGCATACTCCATCATCTGAACTATTCTGACATGTGACCATGTCAACTCTCAGCACAATCTTTTCTCCACACCATAACCCCACCACACAGCAATTCCTTATTCTGTCACTTAACAATACCGTGCTTAATAATAATATACCATTCTTTTCCTTTGTTCCTTGCAATCAATGAAATAAAATGTGGCATCCTCTCAGTTCTTTCTGCAGTAAAGTAAAACATCTGGTCCTTCCTTTCAATTCCACAGCCCTTGTCCCTTTTCATGTGAAAAACAGTATCAGTTCTATGGTGTGTCCTCTGTCTCTGGTCTCCCTGCTTATTTCTTTGATTATACCTATCAAATTAGTTTCACTCAATCTTTGACATTTATCATTATTTTAAATTAGATTGCCAAGGCTGTGCTATATTGGTCAGTTATCTTCTCCTAGGAACAAAATGTATAATTTAAGTATATATAGAATTATATATATAGACCTTGCAGTTAGGGGTTTTATAGGAAAGGACATTAGAAAGCAAAATAGCTCATAAGTCAGATAATCAGGCTTTTTCTATTAAAAACAATTTTAACATTACTAATTGACAACATTTTATTAAAAGGCAGCAAAAATGTGTCAAATCACTGATTACATATTATTTTATTTTTGCTTTTATTTTATGTAGCAGTTAGTAATTCGATTTAACAAACACTTGAAAAGAAATATATTAGATAACATGGAGGATATAAAGATATCTAAAAGCCCTTAGTCTCTAAAAGCTCATATGTAATTTAAAGATAAAACGTTATACAAATATATATAAATTATTGTAAACATCTAGTAAATAAAGTACTTTTTCCCACTAATTTTCAATCAATAGCAAAACATAACTCTAATTGTTCTGACTTGTGCTTTAATTTCATTTATGCTTTAAATGTTGAAAAAAACTGTATAAATAGTGCCCAATCACAGAGAGCATTAGAGCAGGACTACTTTACATAAAACTTTAAAGGACCACATCCTTAGCCTATTAAACCCCCAAAATATTTTTGCTTGCCGAAACTGCAAAACCATTTTGGCTATGCAACCATTAAAGTGTTAATGTAAATGTGCAATGTAAAAGTATAATTAGTTAGGTACAGAGATGTTTATAACACATTAAGTATGAAAAGCAAGTTATAAAACATTATTGCATAATATGATCTCAATCTTGTAAATAAAAAATGTACAAACACATATTGGAATAGTTGGATTATAAACTCTACATTTTTTTCTTTTTCCTAATCTAATTTTAGAATAAGCATATACTCTTTGTGTAATAAAGTCACATGAAAAATTAAGAAAATTAGCAATCTAGGTTTACTATAATAAATTTCTGGTAATTTTTAGTAATGTGTTTATCTCATTTTATTCCCTAATCATAATGGGCACAACAGTTCATACTATATTATAAATAATCTAATTTCTTAGAAAGCACTTTTGTTTTATATATAGTATTTAAAAACTAGAAAAATTATTTCACTTTCAAAATATTAAACCCTGAAAACTGTGCAATTATATAAGTTCACTTAATATCTTAACACCTTTATTCTTATTCATAATAGTCATTTTTAATTAGAAAAATGTAAAATTTAATCCTCGTGAAACAAAAGCAAAATATTTTTATTTTTAATCTGTTTATTTTTTTAAACATTGCTGTGGTTTATTTTATTTATTTATTTATTTATTTATTTTGCTGCGCCGTGCAGCTTGCAGGATCTTACTTCCCTGACCAGGGATTGAACCCGGGCCCCAGCAATGAAAGCACCAAGTCCTAACCACTGGACTGCCAGGGAATTCCCCACAAAATATTTTTAATTACAACCAATTTCAAAGACTTTTACATGTTTTATTAATCAAAGTTGCCTACTCCTATAGATTTTCACACTCAACATGCAAACTGAAAGAATTAAATTTATACTATTTATCTAGACTACATATCTGAGATCATTACTGTCTATATCTGTCTTTTAAGTAACATAAAATAAGTGAGAATTCTTTGCCATTAATTTCGTCATTATGTATACCATGCACCAACTGCAACTTAGCTTATGAATTCCCACCATACTCACATTATCTTCAAGATTCATTTACCATTTTAAGTAATACAGTACCTCAAGAGCATGTTGTACTCTGTCTTTGTGTCTTCCAGCATGAGTAAGGTTGCTGGCAGTGCTGGAAGTGGTAGTCTCGCAAATCTGCTCACCCAAAAGACAGTCTTCTGGTAATACGGTTTCTGCCCACAGCCGGCAGACACCATCATGGCATGAAGTTAATAACACATTACAGACAGAACCTCTAATGATAAAGAGAAATGAACAAAAGTTACTATGAGTATCAATGACATGAAAAATTAAAGGCTATTAATATTTAGTTCTTCAGCCTTAAAGATGACATTAATGCAAAACAGTATGATCTATGTGTAGTTATTTTTCCAATAATGATAATGGATTTCTACTGACTATTTCACACTCTTACCAAACCCCATTTATTACCTGCTCAGACCTGCAAGGTGCTAGGCTGGACATAGGGTGCAATCAGTTACCATAAAATAAGAACAACCTAACTGTCCCTGACACTCACCTTAATTCATTAAACTTATGTCTTGAACACCTAAACTAAATGACAGTATAGTATGCTTCCAATTGCTTTAGAAATTACATTGTGTGGAGAAAGAGTATCAATGGAAGAGCTTGAAATCATGCACAGTATGGCTGTGAACATCATAAAAACTAGGAAATGGTCCTGACGAAGGAAACAGAAATTAATGCCAGATTATACATGTGCTGCTTGAAAAAAAGGCTCTGGAGGATTAGTATCTCCTAAACAAAACAAACTAAACATCAAAAGAAAACCTAGGGCTTCCCTGGTGGCGCAGTGCTTGAGAGTCCGCCTGCCGATGCAGGAGACGCGGGTTCGTGCCCCGTTTCGGGAAGATCCCACATGCCGCGGAGCGGCTGGGCCCGTGAGCCATGGCCACTGAGCCTGCGCGTCCGGAGCCTGTGCTCCGCAAATGGGAGAGGCCACAACAGTGAGAGGCCCGCATAACGCAAGAAAAAAAAAAAAAAAAAGAAAACCTACATTTCTGTCATTACAACTTGCAGAATGACCATAATAAAAGATCATTAATTATAATTAAACTACGTGGTTTATGGTAGTAGTTCGAGCATTTCGTTTTATCCTTCTTATAATCTAAACAGTTATAAATAGGTAAACAAACTCATTAATAATAAAACTGTAAGGAGACTATAAATTCAAACTATAAATCAATTTCCATTAAGTTAAGCAAAAATGTCACAGCATCAAGCAGCTGAAGTGGTTTAACCACTCAATGTGAAAAAAAAAAAATTTCCCATTAAAAAAACGCTTACATAGAATCTGACTCAGTTAAAGGTAAAGTGTTCTGCAAATGTTTTCCATAGATGCAAATAATTTAAACAGATTAAGCTAGAGTAACCTTTTATCTAGATTCCAAAAATGTATAAATTCCCCATTTTATCATTTACTGAGCACCTCCATAATAGGTGTGCTATACTTCCCATCAAGTGCAAACAGTGCTCAGATATATTTAGCAGATGAAATAACCCTTCCTCAAGAATGAATACAGATTTCTAAGCAAGCATTTTTAGAACTGTATATATAATACAGGAATCATTGGTATGGGCTGTTTTGTAGTTTGCTTAATCTTCTAAACACTTTTAAGAGATGGCTGTAACAATGGAGAAAAACTTATAATAAACCCTTTGAGAAGTTTCTGTTGATAGCCCTAAGATAAGAAAAACTTGGCCACTTTACTCACTGTATGTATATGATATGCCTTCCCAGAAGGCATATTACTTACAGTTTATTACTATGTTTTATTCTCCCTCAGTGTGTGCTTTCCTGTTACTTGCAAACGTCTCCTTCCTAGAATCTACTGCTGCTGCTGATACTGACAATACCAGCTAACGCTGCCCTGGCACACACAATGTGCAAAGGCCTGTATAAGCATTCACACTGACTCACACATTTCAGTCTCATACAACTCTCTGAGGTAGGTACTACTACTACCCCCATTCTACAGAGGCATGGAGAGCTTAAGAAATTTAGTCAAAAGCTCACGAAGCTGGTAACTACAGCAGAATCTGAAGTCAGGCAGCTGATGTCCAGAACCTCTGCTATTCATTGCCACCATGACAATTAAAAGGACCTTTGTTTTCATTATTTTTATAAACATATAAGTAATACAAAATGAAGTTCTATGACACAGTTGTCTAACCTGGGCATATATTTGCTAGTTTTACGCCATGAAAAACCTGTCACAGCTCGCGGATGTGCCAAATAGACAAAGGAAAACTGGGTAGACGCCTGTCTCCTTTCCACTTCATGATGATCCGGAGGTATAATTGAAGACTTCCAACCAGTCATAGGGTACCACACTTTCAAAAGACAATCATCCTGTGAAAATATATAGGCCAATATAAAATTAATTTCTATCTACACATTTCAAAATTTAAGTGTTTGAAGAAGCTTTAAAACTTAAGCTATATTGGTGTCAGTTTATTTATCTCTTGTAAAAATAAAATAGTGTGTGTGTGTGAAAAAAAATTAAGCTATATATAAAAACTAAAATGTGACCTATACATAATACAAAACTAAACCTAAAATGATGCTTATTATTCTAAATAATACTATTCTTGGGAAATAAACGGTCAGTGCGCTCATTATCCATCTTCTCTACACAAAGGTACTTTTCAAACAGAGATTGAAGCCAAATTCCCCCACTTCAATACACAAGGGTCACTGTAAAGAAAAGACTCTGGAACCAGATGCTAGCCTGGATAAGAAAGAAGCCATGTTATCTGTCACTGTTATCATCTTCTCCTTTTTGAAGAGATCTGAAAGGATGAGACAAACTCTTTTTAAATATGAATTGCTTCTTACTCTAAATCAGGACTCAGCAAACTCTTCCTGTAAAAGGCCAAGTAAGTTAGGCTTTGTGGACCACACAGCCTGTGACGCAGATTCTTCTTGGGTTGTTTTGTTTTTTTTTTCTTAGAACCCTTCAAAAATGTAAAATCCATTCTTGGTTCATGGGCCATAGTGTTCTGATTCCTACTCTAAATGATGAGAGGGCATCTAGGCAGTTTTGGGGAACCACTTCTATGCCCACTTAAGAAATTTAAAGGTATAACAATAGGCACTGACTTTATCATTTTACTTAGTTCTAAGAATTTTGTTAAAGGCCTAAATAATTTTATCTTATTTAACAGGAACTATCTCTTTTATAGTGCTTCATCCTCTATGGTGTACATGAAGGAAAATAAAAAATTGATAACATTTATGTAAAAATCTCAATCTCTAAGAAATAATGAAATTATGTATAGGTCCAAATATTTTCACCTGGACTAGACAAACACTTCTGTTTTTTTCCATCTTAGTGTTCATTCTCAATCTATACTACATAATGTATGTTTCCACTAAGGTCTCATTTATTCGGATATTTGAATTACACAACAAATCTCTTTAAGTACTTATTCTGAGACAACCACTTAACAGTGCACTAGTTGCTTTCCTCCAAGTACTTTCTCCACCTTAGCATCACTTTCACCTTCCCAAATTTACGGCACAACCTATGGCAGTAGTTTCAGACTACGTACCACAAAAACCCTCGAGGTACCTGAGAGCCCTTAAGAAGTCATAAAGGAAAGTCAGAGATCCTCCACAAGCAGAGCAATCAAGCCCCTTTTCCCATTCCCGCCAGCTTCCCCCTCAAATGAAGCAGCCTCACCATTATGTTACTACCTAAAACTCTAAAACCACACAGAATTAAACTAGAAATCAGTACAAGAAAGATAGCTAGAAAATTCCCAAATATTTATAAACAAACAAAAACACTTCTAAATTACAAGACAATTTTTAAAAATTTATTTATTTTATTTTTGGCTGCACTGGGTCTTCGTTGCTGTACGCAGGCTTTTCTCTAGTTGAGGTGAGTGGGGGCTACTCTTCATTGCGGTGTGCGGGCTTCTCATTGTGGTGGCTTCTCTTGTTGTGGAGCATGGGCCCTAGGTGCGTGGGCTTCAGTAGCTGTGGCTCGAAGGCTCTAGAGCACAGGCTCAGCAGCTGTGACACACGGGCTTAGTTGCTCCATGGCATGTGGGATCTTCCTGGACCAGGGATTGAACCCGTATCCCCTGCAATGGCAGGTGGATTCCCAACCACTGCGCCATCAGGGAAGCCCAGCAAATTTTAAAATATGTTGAACTGAATGAAAATGAAAGCAAAACAAAAAAATTTGGGGGTTGCAGCTCCATTAGTGCTTAGAAGGAAATGTATAGCTTTAAATGTTTATATCAGAAAAGAAGAAAGGTCTCAAATCAATGGTTTAAGCTTCTACCTGAAGCATCAAATAAGAGCAAAGAGAACTCATATTAAAGAGATATAAAGAAGAATGAAAACCAATGAAATAAAATACAAAAATTATAGAGATCTCATATTAAAGAGATATAAAGAATGAAAACCAATGAAATAAAATACAAAAATTATAGAGAAATCAATGAATCCAAAGGCTATTTGTGAAAAGATCAATAAAATTGATAATCTATCTAGAAAGACCAAAAATATTTAGAGAGAAAACACAAATTACCATTATCAAGAAAGAAAGATGGGACATGGCTACAGATCCTACAATATGTTAAATCCCTCAAAAGACAATTTCAAAAAAAACTGACAAAGGAAGAAATAGAAAACCTGAATAGCTCTACATCTATTAAAGATGCTAAATTCACAATTTCAAGTCTTCTCACCAGAAAACAAAACCCTAAAACTACAACTAAAATCTGAGGCCCAGGTGGCTTTACTGATGAACTTTACCAAACATTTAAGGAAGAAATAGCACCAATCCTTCACAAAGTGTTTCAGAAAATTGAGGAAAAGATCTCATTGTATAAGGGCAGTATTATTACTGAGATAACAAAACCAAAGACATAAAAAAACTATACAGGAATATCTTTCATAAACAAAGATGCAAACACCTTTAAACCTAATCCATCAGTATATTAAAAAAAAAAAAAATCATGACCAAGTGGAGTTTATCCCAGCAAAGTGAAGTGGGTTTAACACTGGAAAAAGCAACAATTGCATTTCATCATAGTAAGAGAATGAAAAAGAAAACCTACATAATTATCTCACTATATGCAGGAACAGCACTTGACAAAAGTAAACACTAATTCATAGGGGAGAACAACACTCTCAGCATATAGGAATAGGAAAAATAAAAGGGAACATATACAACATGATCAAGTTGAGTGACTCTACAATAAACCTACAACTTACATCACATATAATGGTGTAAGACAATGCTCTTCCCATAAAATTGGGAGCAATACAAGAACGTCTGCTCTCATCAGTTCTACTCAACATTGTACTAGAGATCCTAGTACTTGCAATATATTGGGTAAGGGAAAAAAATAAAAGGTATACAGATTAGAAAGGAAGAAGTAAAATTGTCTTATTTCACAAACTCCTAAGAAAACTACCCAAAAAGGCTGCTAGAACTGATAAGCAAGGTAATAAGACTAAGGATCAAAATTCAAAAATCAATTCTATTTCTATATTTAGCAATAATTAGCAATGTAATTTCTGTAAATACCTTTTACATTAGGAAGATAAACTTAAATTGTGTACCCTGAAAACTATGAAATGTTGCTAAGAGAAAGAAAACCTAAATAAAAAGAGAAACGTACCACATTCGTAGATAAGAAGACCAAATGTGGGACTTCCATAGTGGCGCAGCGGTTAAGAATCCGCCTGCCAATGCAGGGGACACAGGTCGATCCCTGGTCCGGGAAGATCCCACATGCTGTGGAGCAACTAAGCCCCTGCACCACAACTACTGAGCCTGCGTTCTAGAGTCCACGAGCCACAACTACTGAAGCCCATGCACCTAGAGCCCCCGCTCTGCAACAAGAGAGGACACCACAATAAGAAGCCTGCACACCGCAACGAAGAGTAGCCTCTACTCGCTGCAACTAGAGAAAGCCCGCACACAGCAACGAAGACCCAAAGCAGCCAAAAATTAATTAATTTTTTAAAAATTAAAAAAAAAAGACCAAATGTTACTAATGTACAATTCTTCCCAAACTGTTCTATAGAGATACAATGTATATAAACAGCATCAAAATCACAGCAGGCTTTTTTGTAGAAACTGACAAAATCTGTATGGAAATCAAAGGACTGACACCACCAAAAATATTTTAAAAGAAAGGTACAAAGTTAGAGGAAACTACTTGTTTTTGGAACTAACTATAAAGCCACAATAATCAAGACACATAATATTAGCATAAGGGGATACACACACACACACACACACACATATCACAATGGAACAAAACAGAGAGGCCAGGATCAGATCCACACATGTATGAAAAACTGATTTTCAACAAAGTTGTCTAGGAAATTCAATGGAGAATGGATTGCCTTTTTAAAATGCCACTGAAATATCTTGATATACCTTTGGGGAAAAACTGACTTCAAATCAAATGCAAAAAAACCACCTCAAAATGTAAAATTCAAAACTATAAAACCTCTAAAAGAAAACATAGTAAAATATCTTTGTGATTTCAAGGTAGACAAAGATTTTCTAAATCTAGGCCACAAAAAGCACAAACCAATTTTTTAAAATTGATGTTGGATTTCTTCAAAATTAAAAACTTCTGCACATCAAAAGACATTGTTTAAAAAAAATAAAAAGGCAAGTTACAGACTGGGAGGAAATATATATAATAGATTTATCTTTCAATTGTACTAAATATACAAAGAACTCATAATTCTATAATAATGAGAAAACAAACCCTATTTTTTTAATGGGCAAAGGACAAATAAACACTTTACCAAAAAAAAAGTATACAGACAGGCAATAAGCATGTGCTCAACATCATTAGAAATCAAAGAAATACATATGAAAACCACAATAAGACACCACTACCCAGACTATTAGAATGGCTAATATTATAAAGCCTGACAATGCCAAATGTTGGCAAGAAAGTGGAGCAACTGATATTATTCAATTGTTGGTGAGTATGCAAAATGGTACAACTTTGGAAAGCGCCTGGTACTTTTTTGTAACGTACCATGTGACCCAACAATTCCACTCATAGGTATTTTTTACCCATGAGAAGTGAAATGTTTATACAAAGACTTGCAAATGAATGGTCATAGTAGCTTTGTTCATTTTAGCCTAAAACTCCATACAACCTATATGTCCATCAACAGGTGAATGGATAAACAAATTATGATATATCCATATAACAGAATACAACTCAAATAAAAAGAACAAATTACTGATGCAACCAACATAGATGAATCGCAAAACACTGTGCTAAGTGCAAGAACTCAGACACAATAGAGTATACTACACAATTTCATTTACATACAACTCTAGTGAAGACAAATCT